TTTTTTTTTCTTTTTCCATTTATTTTTAGTCAAAAATATCTATTTTCAATTATATAAAATTTATATAGACTAATTTATAATTAAATTTAAATATACATTTTTATTTATTCTTTAAAGGTATAATATGTTAATAATACTAAATATTAAAAATAATTTATATATGTATAATTATTATTTTTATTTATTTAATTAAGGTTGTCTTTAAATTTTTATTCCTTTGAAAATATTTTTTTATTATATGGGGGAGGGAAGGGGAATCGTGGGAACCACCACCTTATAATGTGATAATTTCACATTATTACACTAAATCTACATAAATATATTTCAAATGAAAGTATTCAAAAGTTTTTTAAATATGAAAGTCTATAAAAGTTTAAAATGAAAATCTGTAAAATTCTACAAAAGATTTCCGATAATTCCATAAAAATCTATAAAAATATCAACAAAATCCACAGAAATCGTCACTTAAAAAAAGTCCATCCAAATCTTCAAAATCTCAATTGAATACCATCCCTTGAATAGAAAGTTTTAGTACTTGTCTAGCCTCAATATCATTTCCTTATCTCCTTACATCTCCTTACAATATATAAAAGTGGAGGATGAGTTTTACTATTTCTAAGCCAAATAGCCAAGTAAGCCGAGCCGTTTCGAGCCAGCCGGTTAGCCGAGCCGTATGGGTGTTTTTGGCCTTTTTTTTTTTTTGCCCTTTTTCACTCCAGTCATTTCCTTCTCTTCTCTTCTCTTCTCTGACTTTCTCCCTTTCTCAAAGCAACGTCCCATACTTTTTTTTTCTTCTCTGACTTTCTCCATTTCTCAAATCAACATCCCATACTTCTTTCCTTCATTCTCCACGCAACCGCACAAAATCAAACCTCCATTTTTTTTCCCACGATTTTGTCTATATGTTGGCAGTGGCAGCTTCCACTTCCATGGCGGCGACAACCGTCTTTCTCCATCGACTTCCCACCAAAAGCACCGTCCACCGCTCTGCCATGCCATGCCTGCCACCCCCTTTCTGCAATTCAGCTTTCTCCACTTCCTTCAAACCCTTTTCAGGTGAAGTTCAACTATTTCTTTATGTATTCTCTTTGTGTTAATAGCTCCGAGGATTTTTTTTGTTCTAGGATATTTTAATGTATACTTTTCAATTAGGGTCGTATTCTATTGTTTCCATTCTACTATACATGTCTTTTAATTCTGTCCAAATCGAAACTTTTCTTCTCAATAAAGATGATTGATCCCAATTGATTTCTTGAATACTGGATTTTGATCCTTAAGTTTTACGTTGTAAGTTTTTGCATTTTTGCTGCAATGAGTTGACTCAATCGAACTCGAACTTACCCTCTTTGATTGCTGTGAATTTGAAGATGTTATGTGTGGCTTGACAAATGCAATGCTAATATTTTTGCAATTTTTTGTTCCCAGTCCAACCAAGAACTTCCCCAGCCTGACTCCAAACCAGATTTGGGTATCCTTAATTTCCATAGATTTGTGTTTATTCTTTCACTTTCATGAACTATGCTCCATGGTTATTCACAAATGTAATCTTCGAATGTGTGTTTTTTCACTGTTGAATTTCTGAGATTTATAATCAGTCGGAATGATGATTTATGGACCATTAACACACAGTCAGGTCACTGATTATTTCTGAATTTTAGAAATTTTGAGCTTATTGTATTATCACATTGGATCTTAATTATTTTAGGTGGATTTTGATTTTTATACTTGCTGATTTTGTAAAATTTGCCTCTTCTTACTACTGTCGTAAAGAACAGTATAGATGAGTATATTATGTACTTAATCTGTACTTCAATTTTTTGATGAGTTAAATTACTTAATTTTATGAAAGCAATTCCTTCATCAGGTAATTATTTTTCTCTTTCTTTGTGTGAATTGTAGGAATCATTTTCTCTTGGGATAATGCCAATATGCATTGCTTGGATGTACTAACAGTCTGGAGCACATGAAAAATTCTCTATCGAAACTGTGAGTCAAAAAAACTATCTAGATCTTTCATTAAATTTGAACCTCAATTGCTGAAGTAATTAAGATAATGTGTGAAACATTATGCGTGAAGATGTTTTAAGTGATATATTATGTTTCCTTGTAGATGCATTTGTTTAATGGTACGAATATTTGCAATCTTGAGAATTTTTCAAACTCAGGTGAAAAGCAACCTTCGAAGGGAGGAACTTCTTTTAAAATCTATGCTTCAGTACTGACAGCAGGTTTTCCAGTAACTTCCCTATCAAAACAA